TTTTCTTGATTGCGTTTGACCCTCTCAATCTCGGGGGTGACAGGGGTGGGGGTTCCTGTCCCCAGCTCCTCCTTGTACAACACCTGTGGGGCAACAGGGAAGTCAAAAAGAGGTAAAAACCAGAAAAAAAAAAAATCTGCATTTGTTGGAGGGAATTAATGGAATTTTCTGCCCATTAATGTACTAGAAAGCAGAAAAAATTAGGGAGCATAAATCAATTATTAATTGTGATAAATTCAGCTAGGATTAGAAGTCGAAGTGCTTGGATAGGCTCCAGCAGAGGAACAAAATATTACTGGAAGGGAATTCAGCAAATTATTTTTAAAAATAGGTTTAAAAATGCAAAATAGCTTAAATTTCAGGAAAAAAAAATTAATGCACATGAAACATCCAGTGTTAAGTTATAAGAAAAATATTTTTTTATACACGTACATAAAATATGGTGCTAATAACGTATAAGCAGGAAGGGGATTTTTTATGAGTTAATTCTAGGGGATTTAAAGTTTGCAGGTGTTAAATAGCTACAGAAAACTGAGTTTTTTCCTGTAATGATAAAAAGATACCGAGCTAAAATTCTCCTGGTTGCGTTTGACCCTCTCCATCTCAGGAGTGACAGGAACTGGGGTGCCAACCCCCAGCCCCTCCTTGTACAACACCTGTGGGCAGCAGGAGTGTGGGAAAAAAATAAAATAAAATAAAAAAACATAAATAATAAAATAAAATAAAATAAAATGGAAGGAAAGGGGAGGACAGGAAGGAGAGAGAGAGAAGAGAAATAATAGTGTGAAACTGCAAAGTGTGGGAAAAAAAAGGAGTTTTGCATTGGTCAAAGCTCAGCAAAAAAACCCTCAAGGAAAATAAGCAGGTGATGATTCTGTCACCCCAGCTGCTGGAATGTTCCAAGGCACCTGGAAATTCCCTGGCAAAGGCTTTTCCCTACCCCGGCTCCAGATGTTCCGCCAGGATTGCAGCCAGGCTGAGGTGCCTGTCCCTGTCACCTGTGCCAGCACCGAATTCCAGGTGGGATTTGGGCAGAGTGGCCCCAAAAAGGTCACAAATTCAACCAGAACTGCAGAACAAAGGGGTGGCACGGTGCTCCTCCAGGTGGATGTGTCAGGAGGGGCAATTCCAGACAGGAATTTTCTCCTGCAGCACAGGGCAGGGACAGGACAGGGACAAGGACAGAACAGGGACAGGAATGGGACAGGAACGGGACAAAAACAGGGACAGAGACAGAACTCTCACTGCTCCCAACCCAAACATTCCCTATCCCATGACTTGGGAAGGGCTGAGAGTCCCTTCCCCACTGGCAGGAGGTGCTGGAAGGAACAGTGACACCAGTGGGAACGTGGCACCAGTGGGAACATGACACCAGTGGGAACGTGACACCTTTCCCACAAGGAATATTTCCTGGGAAGCAAAGAAAGGCCCTGCTCCAGGGCTTGAATTCCTGAGGTTCAAATCGTCCATCTGGACCAACGGCACGCGTTCAGTCGAGGGGGAAATGAAAACATCAGGATCCTGCCAGGGCTTCAGGGGGTTGGTAAGGAAGGGCTGCTCCCAGCACACCCAAGGGTGGGACGTGGAGGGGGTACAGGGACCGGGTTTGGGTTTGGAAGGGGTGGAGATGCCTCAGTACCGAGCTGATGTGCTCCTGGTTCCGTCGGACCCGCTCCATCTCCGGCGTCACCGGCGTGGCAGTGCCAGCCCCTAAACCCTCCTTGTACAACACCTGCGGGGGACAACAGCAGTGCCACAAAAACCCCACTCAGCACAGGCCAGACCCACGGGATCCCACCGTTATGGGATTGTGTTTAGAGTTAGGATCGCTTGGGATTCATCGCACGCTCGTTCCAGAGGCAGGGATTAAGGAAGAGGCGGTGGGGGATTATTCTGTGAATGGGTCACTGCAGAGAGGAGAGAAAGGCTCAGGGGAAAACAAACGTGGGGAGAAACACCACAACTCCACAGGGATGTTCTGCTGCCCAGTTTAGCTCGGGAAATGCTAGGATTATTTTCAGGCAGGTTTGTTCTTAGAAGAAAAGCGCGTGAAGGTGTAAACCCCCCGAAAGCACAAACAGTGGAAGATCAATGAGTTAAAACCCAGCCAGGGCACTAAACCCCTGAGGAAGAACAAGGTTAGGGTGTTAGGAGCACAGGATTATAACAACAGCCCGTTGTTATAAATCCTGCAGGGTGGAAATACCGAGCTAATCTGCTCCTGGTTGCGTTTGACCCGCTCCATTTCTGGGGTGAGGGGCGTGGGGGTGCCCGTGCCCAGCTCCTCCTTGTACAACACCTGTGGGACACAAGCAGGGTCAGAGCACCCCGGGGACACCCCTGAGCTGTCCCTGGCACTGCAAACTGGGACTGTGCACCAATGAAAACACCATTCACACCCCTCAGGAGCTTTATCAGCAGCTCCAAGTCATTTCCCTTCAGTTCGTCATTTGAAGGACACAGATTCAAATATTCTACTGGCCCCGCCCTGAGAGGGATATTTTACTTTTCATTTTAGTTTAGGAAATGTGATAGAATTACTTTTCAGGCAGTCAGCAGGTCTTTACGGGATTAATAAACATCTTAACCTTTTCTGCAATTGTTCAGTGTACAAAGAATTCGTTGTGGGCTTTATTGATTTTCACTTCTGTTTGTTTGCACCACTATTTTACTTTGGGTTAAATCTCTAGGAAACAAAAACAACTGAGTGCCACCACTCATGTTATGAGGTTTAATTTAACCTGTAGTTATTTGATTTTTAAAAACTGTATTTTTCATGAAAGGAGATGTCTGTGGAAAAACCCCAACCATGTGGGAATACCTGACAAGTGTATTGCCACATTTTGACTCCCAGCTTTTCTTGCAAGTAGACAAATTCTTGTACCAAAACAAACTAACAAAAAAATTTCACTGCTTGGCATCATTGAAACAAATAAATCAATTACAGCAAGGGAAAACAACCTATGGAAAATGTTAGAAAAAATGAGGAATCATTTGGAAAAACAACTCAGTTGTCCATAAGTGAGCTGTGCAATTGACTGGATATGGGAAGGTTTTGTCTTCCCTTATAATTGTCATACAAAAAGGCTCCAATTGGACTTTTCCCTCTAATCCTGCCTCCCTGATCCCTTTTTTCCCAGTCAAACTTCAACACACAACCTGGGGCATTTTTGTTCCTGTGTTCAGAAAAGGCCAGGGAAGAAACACAGGCAGCGACTGATGGGGATAATTCCTGTGAAACTCAGGTGTTTCAGTTTCCTGCTGCTGGCCACGGGGACCTGGGAGAGCTGGAGCTTTCCCAAGAGGAAAAGGCTCTGGAGAGGGCAGGGAGCAAGGAATTCCTGGGCTGATGTGCTGGGAACAGGGATATTCCAGTAACAGGGACATTCCCGAGCTGATGTGCTGGGAATAGGGACATTTCAGAAACAGGGACATCCTAGGAACAGGGACATCCCAGGGAACAGAGAATTCCCAAGCTGATGTGCTGGGGACAGGGACATTCAGGGAACAGGGACATTCCCGAGTTGATGTGCTGGGAAGAGGGACACCCAGGAACAGAGACACCCAGGAACAGGGACATTCCAGGAACAGGAACATTCCAGGAACAGGGACACACAGGAACAGAGACACCCAGGAACAGGGACATTCCAGGAACAGGGACACCCAGGAACAGGGACATTCCAGGAACAGGAACACCCAGGAACAGGGACACCCAGGAACAGGAACATTCCAGGAACAGGGACACCCAGGAACAGGGACACCCAGGAACAGGAACATTCCAGGAACAGGAACATTCCAGAAACAGGGACACCCAGGAACAGGGACACCCAGGAACAGGACCTTACCGAGCTGATGTGCTTCTGGGTCTCCTTGACGCGCTTCACCTCGGGCAGGTCGGGGATGGGAGTCCCTTTGCCAATGCTCTCCTTGTACTTCACCTGCAGAGGAACAGGAATTAGGGAAAAGGATCCACAGGAAAGATTTCACCGGTTCACAAAGAGCTTTCTCCTCATCTCTGGAGAGGGGAAGTTTAAAGGACTTCGCCACCTTCCCCTCGCCTTCCCAAGGGATCCGTGGCAAGGCTGTTGGGTCACTGGGAATGGCACTGAAAAGGTTTTATAAAACCAAATAAATTCCTTTAAACCTGACACTACTTGGCCTTTCCCAACCAAAGGGGAATTTGGGATGTGTAAGGATCCCTCCTACTCAACAAAAGTGAGAATCATCACACAACGTCTCAGCAGTGACGGTGCCATTGTATTTCTGTTTTGCTAACAACAAAAAAAGCCTTTCATGAGAACATTTTTAACATTTTTAACATATTCTGCATGAACAAACTGGCTGCAGTGTTAGTGCGAGACACTAAATGACACCACCATTCAAAAAAAGCGTGGAGGAGGTTTAGGAGCTTTGAAAAAAAATTAATAGGTAAAATAGAGTGCTGTGACCTTTTAGACAACATCCAAGTTTGCCAGGACAAAACAAATCAAAAAATTCACCACCAGAAAATTCAGTCTGAGCAGAGTAAAACAGATTTTCCTGGGAGATGGTCCCACCCTGGAATTGATGATTGTGGAATCTTTATCCTGTGGGATACTCAAAATTCAGCTCATCCTAAAGCTGAGCCACAGGGTTGGAATAGATGTTTTCAGCACATCCTTTCCCACCTAAATATTTATTTTTTTCTGTCCAAACTATATCTGGGATGAGATAAAATTGGCAGCAAGAGCTTTCATAGTTTAGACATGGGTTGTGAGTAAGAAATAGAATGTTAATCATTAGAGAGGTTACTGTTAAAGTAACAAGGATGGAAAAAAAAACTTCCAGAAAGTCACCCGTGACTGGGTGGGTTATTGCCAAACCACTGTTAGCAAGATGTAAAGAAGAGAAAAAGAGAGAAAAAAATATTATTTCAAGTTGAATTAGCAGCAGTAGAGTGAGAATTAAAAATCAATCCTTGTGTACCGAGCTGATATTATCCTGGGTTCGTTTAACTCTCTGCATCTCTGGGGTCTTTTCAATTGTGGTTCCAGTTCCAATATCTTCTTTATACAAAATCTTAACGTTTAGAATGAAGACAACAAGGTTAAGCATCCAAAACACAACATTCTTGCTCCCAGACACTGAATTTGGACACAATGGAGCAGCTGAAAGCCCAGAGGATCCGCTCTGGTCATTGCCTCTCTGAAGGTGTCCAAAGTGAGCACCATTAGGGGGGAAAAAGAGCTGATTTTTTTATATTTAATGCTTTTTGAGTGGGAGGTAATTTATACAATAAATCAAAATATCAAATATGTTTCAGTAGAATATTGCTGGGCTAGTGGAAGGAGACCCTGCCCATGGCAGGATGGAAGAAGATGAGCTTTAGGTCCCTTCCACCCATTCCATAATTCCATAATCAAAACATTTGTGGGCTAATTTTAGGACAGAAGATCATTATTTGCTCTTATTTGAATGTTTTCCACTTTGTACTTTGGAAATGGTGCTGGAGGCAAGATGCCACAGGAGACTTGATGGCAACAGGAACTGGGCAACAACTCAGGCACACAGAGCATGAGGGGCAGCAGGACAGGGAGGGACTGGCATGGGAGCAGCACAAAGGAAAGGGACAATAATTCTATTCATTTAATGAGGGATTGTTTAGCTCTGTCACAGCTGTGCCTGTGAAAGAGGGCAATCACCCCACAAAAACAGCAGGAAAAACACTTTATAAAGCCCAGCTAAATCTACTGTGCCTGTAGGAGAAGCACCAAAAGATTGTAGTTTTATTAAAGATATTAAACTGTATTTTTTTGGGCTGAGGAGTGAAGACAGAGGTGACCATACCGAGCTGAAATTCTTCTGGTTTTCCTTCACCCTCAGGATTTCTGGGGTGTCCTGAACCACTGTGACTTTTCCTTTACTGTTCTGTAGGTCTGACTGATACTGAAGCTGTGAAAAGGGAAAATGGCAAATCTTAACTCTATGCTGTACAAATTCCCTCACAGTTTTCTTCAAAAATGAGAAAAATATGGGGTTTTAAAATTTTTTTCTGGACTTACCATGCTAAAGTTCTTCTGATTCTCTCGGACCCTCTGCATTTCTGGTGTGTCAGCCACAGGCACGTAGTAGGGCATGTTCTTCTCTGCATCTTCCTTGTATTTTTTCTGATGGAAAAACCCAAATGGATTAAAATAGAAAACACAAAAGCAGCAAGAAACAAACTGGAGTTATTGATTGTTGACTAGCGCCCATCTTTGTGGAGATGTGAGTTCTTCTCTGTCTGATAGAAACTGAGATTATGCCTCTGTGCAAGATTTATTTTAGACAGCAGGTTATTGAGGAGTAGAGAATTAAGAAGAATCTGCTTAAAGAAGAATTAGCTTTGCAAAGCAAGAGAAATTATTGTGTCACTTGACAGAGCAGTAAAATTAATTTGATTATTGCCGTAGAATTCCAGAACTCTGGAAAGATTTGTTCCCTGGTGCCTCCTGAAGGCTGTGAGAGGTGGTTATTTGTGTGTTTAATTAGTATTTCCTGGAGTTCCCACATGAGCAGGATTAATTGCTTCACTCAAGATACCTGGCTGGAAAGGTTCTTGACCTGCTGGGCATGAATAATCTCTGGAGTATCAACAACACTGGTGTAGTTGGCTTTCTCCATTTCTGCCAATTGTTTGTATTTGATCTGTCGGGCAAAGCTCACGTTTAGGGGCCTCGGTCACCTCTGCACCACAGCTCCCGCTGGGTTTACCCAGAAAAATCTGGATTTTCCTTTCCTAGGGGCTGGGGGTGCCACAGACCTGGCTGGCGATGTCGGTGGCGTTCCTGGCCCGCACGAAATCCGGCGTCTCCAGCGCCAGCTCGGTCAGGCCCTTCCCGCGGATCTCCTGCTCCAGGGCCTTCTTGTACTCCTTCTGTAGGGACGTGGGAAAGGGGCAATGAGGCACAGCCACACGCCAGAACAGGGCCCATCCCAAAAGGAACCGTGACAATCCCAACCAGGAACCGTGACAATCCCAACCAGGAACAGGGCCCATCCCAAATAGGAACAGTGACAATCCCAAATCAGGAACAGTGACAATCCCAAATCAGGAACAGAGCCCATCCCAAACCAGGAACAGAGCCCATACCAAATAGGAACAGTGACAATCCCAAATCAGGAACAGTGACAATCCCAAATCAGGAACAGAGCCCATCCCAAACCAGGAACAGAGCCCATNCCATACCAAATAGGAACAGTGACAATCCCAAATCAGGAACAGTGACAATCCCAAATCAGGAACAGAGCCCATCCCAAACCAGGAACAGAGCCCATCCCAAACCAGGAACAGCGCCCATCCCAAACCAGGAACAGTGACAATCCGAAATCAGGAACAGTGACAATCCCAAATCAGGAACAGTGACAATCCCAAACCAGGAACAGTGACAATCCCAAATAGGAACAGTGACCATCCCAAACAGGAACAGTGCCAATCCCAAACCAGGAATATGCAAATTATGTAATTTCAGATTGTTTCAGTTTGTGCTTCATGACTTAAGTCTTGGTTTAGTGCCTTGATTAATTAATTAGTGAGTCCCTTGAGTAACTGTTGATCCCAGCTCCTGTTTCCCATCTGAATTCCTGACAGTGACTGTGCACCCAGGAAAGAGCTCCCTTAAAAGTCCACTTTGATCCTAATTCCCTCTTCCATGTTCCTTCCTGCCCTCTGCTGAAGAGTTTGCAGGGAATGATGGAGTTCACACCAGTCAAAGGGCTGGGATGGATGGGAAAGAATTCCTGGCTGGGCTGGAATTCCCAGAGCAGCTGGGGCTGGCCCTGGATCCCTGGCAGTGTCCCAGGCCAGGCTGGACAGGGTTTGGAGCAGCCTGGGATGGTGCAAGGTGTCCCTCCCAGGGCAGCTGGACATTCCGTGCACTCAGGCATTTCCCAAGCAGCTCTCCATACCTCGTTCAGGATTTGAGTGGCATTCTTGGCTCTCAGCATTTCTGGAGTCTCCTCCAAGGCTGTCAGTCCTTTCCCTTTGACTCCTTCCTCCAGATCCTTCCTGTACTCTTTCTGCAGGGGAAGGAGAAGGAAAAACACTGCAAAGCCAGACCAAAGGGAGTTCTACACTCTACCAACTTTGTTGCAAAAAAAAAAAAAAAAATTAAATAAAAAGAAAAAAAAAAAGAGTTCCAAAAGCTCCAAAAGAAAAGAAAAAAAAAAAAAGAAAATTTGTAAAACAAGAAAGAATATTGTAGAGGGTTATGGAAGAATTACTCCAAGAAAAGATAAGGATTACTGTGGAAGATAAATTGCCAAGGCACACACATATGGACCAGTTAGGCTGAGGGAAGTCAGAGAGGGGCAGCACATGGGAGTACGGTTAAAGGAGAAAGAAGAAATGTCCATGGCAAATTAGCTGGCAGCACAAAATGGATGTAAACATGCTCAGTGTGGCTGGGTGGGCAGGAGAGTGGGGAAGAAGAAGTGGCAGTGCTGGAGGTGCTGCAGGAGGCACAGGAAGGAAGCCCCGAGGAGCTGGTACCTCGCTCGCTATTTTGGTGGCGTATTTGACATGCAAGAGGGATGGTGTGACCTCCAGGCCAGTGAGGTTCCTGCCCTTCATGGACTCTTCAAAGTCCTTCTTATATTCTTTCTAATGAGAGCAAGATGAAGAAGAAGAAGGGAAAGAAAAAAAAAAAAAAAAGCAAATATTTATTACAATATTTTCATTATGTGCAAAGCCGGGAGGGTGTTGATGTCACTGGGTACAGTTGATACTAAATGGGCTCCTAAATCCTGTTCCCACTAAAAATTTTGAAGCAGATCATTGCTTTCTATGGAAATAGGACCTGATCCTGCCTTTATTTTTTATTTTTCTATTCATTTATCTATGCAGAGAAAGCATTAAAAGGTACCACAGGACTAATGACCTTACACAGCTGCTTTGCAGCCTCCATCTGGGCCAGAAGAGGAATAAACTTCAAAAAAACACAGAAAAAAACTGCACAAGAAATGAAAATTAAAATTACAGGTCAGGGGAGAATCTCTGACAGCAGAGACACACAGGGAATAAAAGAGTTTTCTCAAAAATGGAGTTTTGAGGTGGAAAAAAAATAAGCAGAGCACTTTCTGTGTCCTGTGATAATGCACAAACTCTGTGCTGTGTTGTAAAAGTGAAATAAACTTTGTACCACATTTCTTACTCAAAGACTTATTTAAGCTTCATTTAAAAAAATACAGATAAACTCATTTCATGACAGGAAAGTGTCATGAATGTTCAATGCAGCATTTAACAACCACCATAAAGAAATATGAAATTTCTATAATTTTTCAGTCAGCGTGCACAAGGTGCAGGCAGAATTGCCTGTTAAATCCCTAAGTTTAATAGAAAAAATTAATTTTAAAGCTTTTCAGACTATCAGTGTTGGTTTTACCTCGCTCTGCATGAGCTGAGACTCCTTGGCAGTCAGGTATGTGGGAGTTTCAAAGTCCAACATGGGCTTTCCTTTTTCCTTCTCATACTTTTCTCTGTATTTCACCTGAGAAGTAAAGACAGAAAGTCACCCTCCTAAATAACCAAAGACCTAATTAATTGACTAGTATGTGCCTATTATCAACAGTTCTAGGATAAAAATTGAATGGCTAATGCAGTTTGCCTTCCTGAAATCTCTAGTATTGATCAGCAAATGTAAAATTTGGTGTCCAGGAAGTAAAATGTCCATGAAGATGATTCCTGCTTCAAGTTCTATTCTCCATATTTTCAGAGTGCTCAATGAGGGGATGCTGTGGCCAAGTCAGAGCCTGATCCCAAACTGGAGCAACAAGGAGTGACTTAAAAATTAATTACAGCCTCATTAACAACAGCCTGATTGACAACCACTTCCTTATGGCCTTTGGCTGTGGGACCTTTTTGCCTTTCCATGCCTTGAACATCCCTGGCAGTGGCCAAGGCCAGGCTGGAGAAGCCTGGGATGGTGAGAGGTGCCCCTGCCCAGGGCAGGGGTGGGTCAGAATAATCCTAAATACCCCCAAACCCTTCTGGAATTCTGTGCCAAGCACCAGAACAATCAGCTGTGGCCCTTGGTGTTCTTGCAGTAATTCCTCTCTTGCTTTACAGCCAATAAATACTGGGAACAGAGAGGATCAGAGACCAAATCAGACTGTGAACTTCTCTGGAGTGATCCCCTGTTTTATTCCAGAGGGAAAACCTCTAGGCAGGTTGATAGTTTGGTTAAAGCCATTTTGGATGCAGGAGAGGACAGCAGAGCTCTCCTTTGGATCGTGGAATGGATGAAGCAGTTGGAAATCACTGTCAGCAGCAACCCTAATTCCTTCAGCTCCCAGATTCTGTGATTCCCAGGTCCTTTCTTCTCCAGAGACAAATCCCCCTGATAAATGTATTATCCTGTGTAAAAGGACCCACGTGCAGCAGAGCTGAGCAACAGGATTGGCTCTGGAATGGAGATTTTATCTGTGTATTTTATGTGTTCTGCATCTGGAAATGTGCAGGTTCTGCTCCCTGGATCCTTCTCCAGGGCTGCAGTGCTGGTGGGGCAGAGAGGCACAGGGAATGTCCCAGCCTGGAGGATTCACTGGGAGGATTTTGATGGAATTTGGTGCTCAGTGAGTTGGGATGAGGAGAAACACACGTCCAACTTACGTGGCTCTGGAGCTCTGAGGCCTCCCTGAGATGAACCTGTTCAAGATTATCTGGCACCACATGGTAGTGACCCTTACTCTTCTCATATTGCTTCTTGTACTGGTACTGAAGGGAAGGTGTCAAAAATCATCTCAATCAAAAAAAAAAAACCCTCAGCAAATTTACTTCTTAGGTCCAATCAAAGCAACACTTCAACAGAATGTCAGAGAGAAATTAGAAATGCAAGAAGTAAAACAAAAACCAAGAAGTTTAGAATTGACTTTGGAGGTTAAAGATGTGAGAGAATAGTTATTTTTTATGGTCATTTGGATTGCGACAAAGGTTTTTTCCAAACCAGGATTAAAAGAAGAAAAAGAAAGAGAAGAGAGAAAACACAGTGGGTAATGAAAAGGCTGTACCAGGCAATAAAGGTTTTGCCTTTTCTCATTATCAATTATTTTGTTAGGCATAATTATGTGGATTTACAACAGGGGAGTGTTATACAAACATGAAGTAAAAAAAAAAATTCAGATAAAAATAAAAAAATTAAATATAATAATCAGCAAAGAAAAAAAGGAAAAAAATAAAAAAAGATATTTGTTAGTGAAGTGCAATCAGTTAAAAATGGGATCAAGAACCAATCCAGTAAAAATTATCAGAGGATTTAAATCAGCAGCAGTTCTGCAATCAGTTAAAATGGGGTCAAGAACCAGCCCAGTAAAAATGCTCAGTGTTTACAATATTAGCAGTGCTGCAGGAGAGGAGGATTTCCCTTCCCAGGGCACGAGCGCGGGCACCGCCGGCTAAGGAGGCGCCACTGGGAAGCAGAGGAAGAGATCACTACCAGGTGATGCCCATGGAGGTGCCCAGGGAGCAGCTGTTACAGGGGGAGTTAGCAGGGAATTCCCAGGGAATTCCCACCCTGGGAGCTGTGGGATCACCCCGAGCTTACAGCACTGGCGAGCTGGCTGGTGCTCAGCACGTGGTTCATGAGCAGCGACTCCTTCATGTCCGTGACGGGCTTGTGCAGCTTCTTCAGGTCTGCCTTGTACTTCACCTGCGGGGAATGAGGGTCACACCCATCAGGAGAGGGGCTCAACCTGGCCTGGGGGAGGTCCCAACCACACAAAGGAGGGATTTGGGAAAGCAGGATGAGATCTCCACCACGGAAAAGCCAAAGCGAACGTACCTCGCTGGCCATGTTGTGCGCGTCCTTCAGGGTCTTGTAGATTTTGGCCTCCTTCAAATCATATTTTGGCTTTTTGCCCAACTCTTTGGCAAAGTTCTCCTTGTATTTCACCTAAACAGAGAACAACCAGGTGTCACAGCTGCTCTGCAGGAATCACCCTGTTTTGGTGCTGGCTGCGAGAAGAAGGGGAAGTGCAGGAACTTGAAGGTGTCCACTGGAAAAAGAGATTATTTCAAAAACGACCCGACATGGAAAGAAAATCTAAATCTATCTGACATTTACACTTGCAATTTTGCATCCAGTGCAAAGGTCACACCTCCTCATTGTAAAAATAAAAGAGCCAAGAGAATTGTGTTGCCAAAATTCTGACCCTTGGAGGTGAAGAGTTTTTCCCTTGATGGGAACAGTCCATTGATTTAAGATGTTTCACAAAGACAAACACAGACAGGTGTAACAAGAGTAAAATACAAGAAGATTATATATTATATAACATTAATATATAATATATAAAATGTAATAATGTAAGAGTATATGGAAGACTGTTAAGAAGAAATTTTTACACTTCTTGGAGAAATAAGAGCTTTAAAAACCTCAAGATTTTAGAGCACTGAAGATGTCAATACATCAAATACTTTTCTACCCATTGTTATGTACACAGTGTGTTTGTTCTGTCTGGATTAAAGCAGGACATTAATTACAACCAGAGCAGTGACACGATTAATTACTAATGATAAATAATTAATTAGATTCGACAGGAGTTTTAGTAACACTTCCAAACCACATCAGCTTCAGCCAGGTCAAACACAGCAATGTGAGCCATCAGAATCCAGCAGATCCAGCCTGGAGGCACAGGAATATTGATAGGAATGAGAGTTTTTTAAACCCAAAAGGAGAGTTGCTGGGAGATCAATGGAAAATTAAAAGCAAGCAAGCCAGACAGACAAAATGCTACTAAAAACTCAGCTGAATAAACAAAGTGGACATGATGCTTTACAAAGTTTATGAGAAGAGATGTCCAAGAGAAAGAACAGCTGTTAAAGATGATGCCAACCATTCTTTGCTCCCTCACTGCCCCTCCAGCAGCTCATTTTCCCTCAGAACCAAAATTATCTCAGCAAAGAATGTTTGAAAGACCAAGAGTGGAAAAAGAATGGCAAACCAGGATCTCATCACTGAAGTGGAACAAACAGAACTTCTTCTCTTTCTTGTAGATCACTTTGGAATCCTTGGTTCTCCTGAGGAGATCTTTGGTTTTCCTGTGGACACCGTGGTGGACATTCCAACATCCAAACATGGCAGCAGACACAGCCAGACATGGAAAAAATAAAATCCCTTTTTTTTTTCTCTTGGAAATACATGTGTAAAACTGAAATGGCAGAGACCTGTCTGCTAGCAATACCAAATGGGCAACCCAGGCTCTGGTTTTCTATTTCCCAAAGGTTTTGCTGTGGGAAGAAGTCTAAGAAACAATGAACCCTCACACCAGTACAGGCTGCACTTCGCAGTGGGACTGATTCAGTCACAGCCTGTTCTTCCATAGGAAATTCCAGCCAATAAAATAGTTTAACTGGAGTTTAAATGCAGTTTTAATAGAAGTTTGAAAAGTTAAAATGAAGTTCTGGTGACTGTTCCCTGAAAATTACCATTTTTCAGGTTGGTCACACACATATATTTACACATGTATTTCCCTGTGGTTTTTTTTTTTTCATTTTTGGACAAACAGCTCAAATTTCAGGTTTTTTGGGTGAAAAAGGTGAGTTTTCACATTCTGTTAGTGCACTGAAACCTTCAACAAAACAACCTGGAAGCTCCAAAACCACCATGAAGGGCAGAACAACATTTAAAGCTTCACGTGGTGCTGCAGAATTCCAAGACAATTATGCCACCAAGAGACAAATGCACAACAATGGCATTAAATGGCATTTAATTAAAATTCTCTTACATGACTACTTAGCATATTTGCTTTCTTAAAGGTTCTCATCCAGGGGGTGTCATAGGAAGCAGCTCCGTGGCCTCTCATGTGTTGTTTGAGGTACTCTGCCTACAACCAGCAGCAGGAAAGCAAGGTCAGAAAGGCAAAAAATCCAGAATTCAAACACAAAGAGGTGAGAAAGAACCAAGAGGGACTGAGGTCCTGGCACAAGATTCTTTTAAAGATATAAAGAAAAAAGAAAGTGGCTGAAAGAAACCAAGTGTCCGTTCAAAGAATGGAAAACAAGAGTCAGGTAAAGGCTGGTTCCTTACCAAGAACCCAAAAGAGCTAAAAAAGAACAGGGCAAACACTTCAGCATTTATGTCACAGCATCATCTTAAGGAGGTTTTATATCTCCATTAATAACAGTATCAAAGTTTAACAAAGAAACACTTAATATTTGTAATTAATTTTTACTTCCCCACATTCCCTTCCTTTCCCTTCCCCCCAGTTTGGAAATAATTTCAGTTATAATAATGACATCACTCTGTAAATTAATTCTACATCTCATTTCTCTCCCTGCTTTGAGTTTCACCAAGGTTTCACCTTGCCCTTACCTGGCTGGTCAGTTTGGACACCTCCTTGGCCAGCTCAATGTCTGGACGTCCCAGCATGGTCACACCCACACCTGCTGCTCCACGCTTCTTATATTCAATCTAACCAAAGAAATAAATCCTTTAGGAGTGAGGAAACCTCTTTTAATCATTCTACTGGATTTTTTTTCATTAAATTAAGGTTAAAGGATTATACAGAAGTTTTAAAGCCACTCACATTGCTGATTAATTTGGCAGCCTGAGTTGCTTTCTTAATATCTGGTCGATCTGCTATAGGTGTGTAGTGGAGTTTGGATTTGGCATCTTTCTTGTATTCAATCTAATCCATGGAAGAAGACAGAGGAAAGAAAATTAATGAGAAAATTAAATTTATTCAAGTAAGGACACAGCAACGGTGCTGAGAAAGCTCATGGGTTTGTTTTGGAAATCAATTCACACGGGCATGAATCAGGAGATCTGGTTTTGCAAGTTGTCTACAAGTGAAGAAATCAATATGGGAAATTCTCTCTGTATTTGAAAGGATGAAAAAATTATTAGATGTGATTTTCACCAGATTACTTGAAATCCTACAATGGGATTTAAATACAAATCCTTCATTTCAGCTGAATTTTATATTTGCAAATATTTGTACGTTTATCTTTCAAAATTACACCTGAATATGGAGGCTAGGAGGAAATTCAGAAATCCATAAACTTGGGGTTTTCCAGCTGAATTTGCTTACATAACCAACTAAATTAATGGGAAAAGAAGCAAACTTACTGTGCTCTGGTTTTTAGCAACTTCCATGGCATGTTTCACCTCAGGAGGCTCCAGCATGACAGAATAATTGGATTTGCCTTTCTCCTTCACAAACTTCTTCTTGTAGTTCGTCTGTCAAGAACAACAAGGGCCACATGTGAGTTTTTAATGTCACACGGAGGGGAACGCTGCAGAAACTTGGAAACAAGCTCCTCAAAACTGCTGTAGGTGGACAAAGAGGAGCCACCTCACCCCCCAAATGTGCTGGGGGTTGAGATTAGAAAAGCTCAGCTTTGGAGAAGATGAGCTGAGCCTGAGCTCACCTCGCTGACGTTCTTGGTCACCTCCTTGACGTGGACGGTGTCCCTGGTCTCGGGCAGGGTGGTGAAGGAGCCATGGGGCAGCTGCTTCTTGCTCTGCTCTTTGTATTTGTTCTGCCAGCACAGGGGAACACCAGGTCAAACCCAGCAGCTCCAGGATGGAGTTCAGTTCAGTTAAATCAAGAATAAATGAATGTTTTACCTCGGACACCAGAGAGCTGACGTTCTTAGCCAGCAGGATCTGAGGGGTGTCTGGAACAACGTGGTAGGTCCCACGGGCTTTGTTGTGCTTCTCTTTGTATTTTATCTAGCAGGAAGGAAAGATATCCATTTAAATAATGTGTATCTGTCAGCATAAAAAATAATCAGTACAGCTCTGTTTGCCTGTTAGTGCAAAATTTTGCAGAAAATCCGTATTTTGATATTTTACAGCCTAATCCATACATTCCTATGGCTCTCACTTGGATTTTTTTTTAGTATACTGAATATTAACATACTGTTAGCAATTATTAAAGATATTCTGAGTTATTTTCTCCAGACACTTCCATTTCAGTATCAGGAATGCAGAGATGTACCTGGGTGTAAAGTCTAAGGGTGCTCAGGCAATATTAACTTTGAATATTAATTTAATCCATGAATTAGGCCAGTGGCTTCTACAAGACCAAATTTATTCAGTCAATTTGTTAATTAAATAAATCAAGTAAAGATTTATTTCATTAACAAATGAATTAAATAAAAATTAAGAATTTTTAGAGAGTGAGAGAGTCTCTCTCAGACTGAGAGACTGAGAACAACTGTCCAAAGCTTTGTTGCTCATCCAATTATACTTGCAATAGAAGAGTTAAGTAGTGAGTAAAGTGGTAGTAGAGAACTTGCAGAGGAAAGGCGAGTTCAGTGCTTACATCACTGGCCAGGATGGCATTATTGAGGGCCAACACTGTGTTTTTATCATCTGTGACAGACAGTTTGCACCCCTTGAGGAATTCCCGGTCCAGTTTGTATTCATACTGCAGGAAGGAAAAAGGAAAGATAAAGTAAGAGAGTCTCTGATCTTCTCCAATTAAAAAAAAAAAAATTCTGAATAGGAGAGATGGGGAAATGGAATATTCGGTGTATTTTGATTTTCTTACATCACTCTGCTGCAGAGAGGACTTGGCTGCTTGGATGAAGTCAGGCCTGTCAGCAATCAGGTGCCAGTGGGCTTTGGCTGCTTCGTATTTCTTCTTATAATCCAGCTGTGTCCAGGGAAAAACAAACAGGAAGAGTTGGTGGGAAACTGGTACTTTGCACACAACACACAGAGGCCAATTCTCTTTTGGCCGGTGAGAAGAGGAAAGAAAATGGATCTACACCAGATTAGGGCTTTTCTCTGGGTCAGGCACAACCCAGCCACTGCAGGTTTCCACTGCTGGATGGAGAAAGGGATAAAAAGCTGGAGAAAGGGATATGAAGGTGGAGAAAGGGATATGAAGGTGCAGAAAGGGATATGAAGGTGGAGAAAGGGATATGAAGGTGGAGAAAGGGATAAAAAGGTGGAGAAAGGGATAAAAAGGTGGAGAAAGGGATAAAAAGGTGGAGAAAGGGATAAAAAGGTGGAGGAAGGGATAAAAAGGTGGAGAAAGGGACATGAAGGTGGAGGAAGGAATATGAAGGTGGAGGAAGGGATAAGAATGTGGAGAAAGGGATATGAAGGTGGAGAATGGGATATGAAAGTGGAGAATGGGATATGAAGGACTGAAATGATGTCCTGACTTTGGAGAAGGTGAGAGCTTTCAGATCCTTCCAACTGAAATGGATGCTGGGCACCAATAACAGAAACCACAGGAAAGTTTTCCATGAAGTTTTGTCTCCAAGAGCATCATCCCATGGAATTCCTGGGGCAGATGTGTCTCTGCCAGGACAACAGGGGACAGCTGGAAGGCCAGAATGTGTGACACACAAGAACCTCAAGGACAACTCACCAGAGTGAACACTTCAGTATGAAAGAAATTAAAGCACATTTTCTTCCAGCACCGTGAGGATTAGAAGCCATGCCCAAAAATTTCAGTGGAATTTAATTTCTTGTGGAATAATTTCTTGTGGAAATAATTCCTTGTGGCTTCCACTACCAGTTCCCACCACCCTCCAGAATAAAATGAAGCCATGAGCAGGACAGAACTCACGTTGCTGTTCAGTTTGTAGGCGTGCCTGGGAGTTTTGATGTGAACTGAATCTGCCACGACGTTGCAGCGAGATTTGCTCCTCTCATACATTTCTTTGTATTTCAGCTGGAGAAAGACAAAGATGTAAAAAATGTTTGCAAAGATCAGATCAGCATCAACAAGAAAAGCGTTCAAATATTGAAAAACTTCATTAAAATTGCTCCAGTCTGGATAAAATCTTAATAGGAGAAAATGACTGGAGGTGGCACTCAGGGCTGGTGCTGGGGGGGTTGGGCACAGCTTGAATTTGATGGCTTTGAGGGCTTTTCCAACCTAAATAATTCTGGGATTCCATGAAAAATAAATTCTGTTGATACAACTTGATATCAAGCACCTGCCTGAAGGAGGGTCCTCTCCAGCAGCACTTCTCTTTATACAGAAAATGAAGCAGTTTTAACTCACCACAAGGCACAGACTAAGATTAATAAAATCTATTCACAATCAGTCATTCTGAATATTTCTAGGAGTTTTTTTCCTGAATACTTCTAGTTTTTTGCAGTTATTTTTCTTCAAAATAAGATTCTGAAGAGTCTTATTTTCTGATAGTTACACTAACTGAAAACTCCTACAGAGAATCTCAGCACTCAGTTTGGAGCTTAAAAAAGTCCTTCAATTCACATCTCTGTCTCTCAATGATCCTCTTTAGTATCTGGATAAAAACTATTGATTCCTCCTGGAATAAATTAAATTAAAAAAATAAATTTAAAAAAAGAAATGTTTCCTCCTGGAGTTACTAATCCTGTAGAAACCCATGGAGCATCTGGATGAGATTCAGGCTACTTATTCTGACAGTACTACATTGAGTTTCAGAAGTTTCAGCAACCTCATTTATGGATACCTAAGGAACAACTAAAAAAGGACAAAGAAAAGATAGGAGAAGGAATTAGGAGCAGGAGTCCTAAATTCTATCCTATTTTCTCTTTCCTTCTTTTCTATTGCTCCATAATCAATCCATAATCAAAACATATTTGTTTCAGATCAGAATATTTACTTTACATATTCACAGTATCTATATAAAAAATTAATAAACACAGCAATACATGAAATATTTTATTCAAGCCTCAAAAAAAAAATCAGTTACTAGAGGAAGAAAAAACAGAAAAAAACTTCTCCAAATTCATTCAGATTTGGAGACCACTTCCAGGTCATGGCTTTTATTTCTAGTGAGGGGTGGTTTGTCCCAGAAAAAAAATGTTCCAAGCACTGAATGCAGATAGTTTTACAGGCCAATATGGCCTAAGAAGGTGATGATTTTCACTGGCAGCATTAGACAGGAGTCACAAACATTGGCTACCAAGTTAAAAAGTGGATTTGGGGTGGTTTTGGTACCACAGAGGTTCCACTCACGTCACTGATCCTGTCCTTGACCTTGCGCACATGCAGCAGCATCGGCGTGTCCTGGATGGTGGTGTAGCCCTTGGGCTTGGCTTTGTTGTACTCCAGCTTGTAAATAATCTGAAGGGACAAATTGGGGCTGGGGTTATTTCTGGGAATCCTTGGTGGCAGCTGGGAATTCCCTGGGGGGGACTGTCCCATCCCCAAGGGTCCACACTTACGTCACTGATCTGCTTGTTGACCTTCGTGGTCCGTAAATACTCTGGAGTATCCAGAACTGTGGTGTATTTGTCCTTCTTCTTCTCATAGTCCTTTTTGTACTGAATCTGGAGATGGGGAAAGGCTCTAAGTTAATCACACAGAGCAGGGCAAAACCTCTCCCAGAGGTGGGATTATATCCATGGGTAAAATTGCAAAACCCTCCCACAAAGCCAAGGAAAGCAGAACATGCACCATGAGCTGAATTGCAAACTCCTTCCTTGCCCAGGAGGCTGCCTGTTTGTTTGTCTGATTCATTTTATGGTTATTTCAAGCTAAAATCTCCAGGACTGAGCTAAAAAAATCAATCCTTGCAGACCAGAGACTTTTAAATTTCATGATGGACAAAATCTCATTTTTAAATATTCATATCCAGTTGAAATTTGGACTTGGCGATCTTGGAGGTCTTTTCCAACCTGTGAAGATTCCGTGATCAGAGTGAAGAGAAATGTAAATCATCTCACACAGCAGGAGATAAAAATGTTATCAATTATATCCCAATGCCAGGATATTTTCAAGGCTTTGGCAGCAGGATTTGTGCCTTGGTAATGATTTTCTTAAGGATCAGCTTGCCCTGCTCGGGTTTCTAAACCTTTTTTCACAGAGTTCACCAAGTGAGAACAAGTTCAGAAAGGATGGAAATTCATTGTAGGCAGCCTCAAGGCAGCTGGAAAAGGTTAGAATGCATTTTTGAAAAAAGAATTTTCATGCTCTACCCTTTATCAGAAAACAAACCCATGCATTTGAAATCGGACTGCGACAGACAAAATATGAAAAATGATAGACAAATAATCAATGATAACATGGAGTGAACTCAGGAGGACATGCAGGTCAGACATTTCTTTTTTTAAATTCAAACATACACAGAGTTACCTGCAAGGAGTTTTTAGTGAAAGAATATAAATCCACAGAAAAAATGGAACAAAAATGTCTGAAAGACCTTCAGTAATTTGTTACTGAAGAATGTCACTATTGGCACAGGCAATAACAAATTCCAATTCCCTCTGACAGAATTGCTTCCAGTGTATAATTTATATTCCAATTCACGATCAGGAATGATTTTTCCCCTGCAAAGGGTGAGCTGACTGCCAGAAGCTGTGATTTCAGAGCAGAAATAACTGTTCTGTGTCTGACACCATTCTGGGCACGGTGGAAGATAAATGTTGGAATCTCATCCTGTCCTTCCTCAGTTAAGGAACTGGGGTTACCAAAGGTGGCCAGGCCAAGAAATGGTGTCAGAATGAGAACTGGGTTAGGGAAATACCAGGTAGAACTAACATCCAATATCTGAAATGTATAGAAAATTGCTTTTTTGTACAAGTATGTGGAATTCATACCAAGTGTTTATAATGAAAGGAGATATGGAGACAAGCTCAGCCTGAGCAGAGCGATGTCCAAGAGACAGCAAATATTGTTTCAGATATTCTGTTTTATTTTATCACAGCCAGCATTAAGCACGTGGAGGAATTTTGGGGTCTGAAGTCCATGGATATAGAGGGAGCAGTAAATATGCCAAGTCCAAGCAGCTACAGTGGGATCGAAGGTGCCCTAGAGCAGCAGCTCTGCAGATTACCTGGCTCCACAGGTATGTGTTGTAGAGTGCTGTCAGCATGTCTGGCCTCAGAATTTCATTGCATCCGTGCTGCAGGAGCATCTTGGCAAAGGCTTTATAGCTTCTCTGTCCATGCAAATGGCAACCAAGGACAAGAGAGACCCATGAACAACATGAACAACGACACAGCTCTAGATCCCAGGCACTTGGAGAGTGGAGAGATTTAGGCAAGGTGCTGCATGTAGTCATCCACATGTGCATACAATTCACATCTGGATATTTAACACTGCCAAAGGTACAGGTGAACAAATTTTCCTGCTCTCGCATTAAGGAAGTTACGAGTTTTTGGGGGGAGATGAAAGTAAATTAGGGATAAAGGAAAATATGTCCCTGCTGCTTTATCAAGAAATGAGTAAGAAGATTTGAAAAGAGAGGTAATAAACCAATAAACGCTTGATTCTGCATTTTTTAAAACCTCTCCAGTGGCTTCAGGAGGGATGGGATTCCTGATGTCCATTGATGCACAGTAATGGAAGTACATACAGGACAGATGGACAGAGCAGCTCACACAAAAAGTGGCTCCTTTTTGGGTGGCAGGATGGAGATGAAGAGTGAAGAAACATCACAAAAACCACAGGGCTGTGACACTGCTGAGCTGCTCCCCACAGTACCTGACTGCTCAGGGTGCTGCCCCACTTGGCCAGCAGGTTCCTGGGGTCATCCACAATAACGCTGTACCTAGCTTTGAGCTTCTCATAGGCTGCTTTGTATAATTTCTGCTCAGAATAGCACAATACAGCGCAACAAGAGAGGGTTAAGATACAGAGAGGTCACTGGTATAGCCTCTCTACAGGCTGGGGTTGAAAGTTATGTCCAAAAGAGAAAAATACGTTGAGAAAAAAACCCAAAACAACAACAACAACAAAAAAAAACAACACCAAAAAAACCAACAAAACAAACAAACAAAAAACCAACAAAACAAAAAAAAACCCTGCAAGGACTTTGTATGGAGACTGAACTAGGAAGAAAGAAGTCAAGGGTTTGAAGGGTTTGAAGCAACCCCTGACAATGTCAGTCTTTTCCCCTATTGTGAGAAACTCTGGCCTCATTGAAAAGGCTGTGATTAAAAACCTCAGGATTTAATGAACAAAATCGTTTCACTAGAAAGGAACAAAGTCTCTTATCAGCCTATACTGCACAATGAAGAAGAGA